TTACGCGTGTGCAGAGAAGAAATCCCTTTGGACGAGATGCTTTTTCTGCAGAGATGGCCGGCCAGTCGGTGTGGCTATTTAGAAAATTCCTTCTGCCCTTTGACGATGAATTGCCTTACAGAGAGAATCTTATCCATTATTCTTTGCTTACGCTTGACAAATTTCGCTTAGTGCACGTATTTGTAGGCGACTAATTATTCCTTTTACAATGTCTTTAAAAATCATCGGGCTCGTTATCGCGCCACTTACATGGTAAACCTGTTTTACAGTATTGACAATTGGATTTTAAGCTCTCGCGTTAAACGTCTTCGTTACATTGGCAAGTGTGAATTTCTCGGCCTCGTTCAAGTTTTATCTATTACTAGAAATGCCCCACCACAACTAAATAAATAGAACGGCATTTACAGTTTAAAACTAGCTTTAAGTCGGCAAATGAATTTCGACTCCATTAAATGAAAATCACTTCTCTCGACTATCTAATGTAGCAGCTGCTTTAGCCAAGGAAAAATTCTCGTATTATGAACGTAAAGCTAATAACGTACACCCACGTTTCGTCACATTAACGACAATTGCAACGGAAGTTAAGCATTTCCGATCGATATATATGTATATCATTACAAAGCAGTTATAAAGTAGCGATATCGCTTCTCTTAGCTGACAATGGAAGATATGGTGAAGATCCGCGCGCCTCGAATCATTAATCATTTCATGGCAGTTAGGATGATGAGATTTTCCATTTCTTCTTCTTTTTCTTCTTCTTCTTCTGTTGCTCGCTCAACTATTTTGGACTTTGAAAGCCTTTTTATTGCCAGGTAGTGAAAGCGTTCGTTCAATATTGTAACGCTCATCGATGAACCACGATGGCAATGCACATTTATCGCCCCACTGATCATTGATTTGCAACGCAACGCGCGCCGCATTCTCCATAATTCCGATGAACGTTAAATTTCATTTTGGCAAGACGAGCGCAGCCGCTGCAAAATAAATCAATCGTTAAATTTATTGCTTATTATTGACGTAACACACGCGCACGCACGCACGCACGCACGCACGCACGCACGCACGCGCACACACACGCAACGCTTTTATCGAACCTCTAAAACTTTCGCGGCTTCGCATTTACGTCTCGCTAATGACAATTATTGTTATTCTTAAACGACAAGGGCCGTCCCTCCCTCGCTTATCCGCGAATACACGCGGAACCGGCAAAATCGGCTCTAATTTCGTTGCCGCGAAAAGTTCGCTCTAAATTTACCGAGTAGTCGCTCGGAAACTCACGAGCCATCAATCATCGGCGACAGCGGCCGATAAATCTCGCACGCATTCCACGTCTGCCGGTTGATTGTCCCGTGCACGGTAAATGGCCCGGGGTTGGGGGTTGGGGGTTGGGGGAGGGGAGACGAGGCCTAAGACACGGGGGCGGCCGAAGATTGGCCCAGATATAGGCGCGGGAGTCGTTGGTAGCGATAGTCGGGGTGCCGAAAATAAATACACGATCGCGGGATCCTGCGCATAATTAGTCAGGCTCGGCGCGCGGTCACGAGCGGCTCCGGGAATAGAAGCGGCGCTCCAATGAATTCCCGGGTCCTTACGGCTATTTTATTTCGCACACCCGCGAAAGCGCCATTGTCGTCTTTAATGCTCGAGGGCTCCGTCGTCTCTCCGTCGACTACCAATTTCCAATGTGGTTTATTCGCGCGCGCTCGAGCTACTGTATAGAGTGAGAGTGAAAGAGAGAGAGAGAGAGAGAGAGAGAGAGAGAGAGAAAGTAACACGCTATCTGATCGTTATCATTAATGAAATTGTCCGCTTCGTAGGTTATGCTCCAAGTGCCTCTGATCGCGTCCGTTTAAATTCAATTTTGCCATTGGCGAGATTGAGCGGAACGACTTTGTCCTTGCGACAACGGCGCGCGGTCGATCTCAAGCCATCGGCGGCGGCGACCAAAGCCGCCAATCTTTAAGCGCGATAATAAAAACTAATGGCAGAAGAAGTTCGTCTTTAGGAGGAACTTCTAGGGCGAATAATGGACGGCGCGGTCGGTAATGTTGCGCGTGAATGAGGGGAAGAATAAGAGGAAGCGGGCGAGGGAGGAAGCGCCAACTTTATCATCCCGTAAATCAGTCTTGCCAGCGAGTCGCCGTGAAAGGAGGTCTGTGGTCGGTGTGGGCGAGGAAGAACAAACGAAAAGGGATAAGGCCGATGCGAAGGAGCGACCCTGGGCCCCTTTATGTCTGCCCTATAACCCTATATGCTCGGGCAGATAAAGAGTCGGCGCGAGACTTTGAATATAATACGTAGACGAGCGGAGGACGCGGCAGTAGTGGAAGGCTCTCCTGGGTACAACAGCCACCGCCGCCTCCAAACGGTTAAATAATGGAATCGCGTTTCTCGTTTTCCGAGAAAAAGCTCGCGCGTAAAAGATCTTTAGTCAAAAAAAGAATAAAGAAGAAGAAGATGTGGAGAGTAGGATAAAAGAGGCGCGAGCGAGCAAAGAGTGAGAGAGAATGAGAAGGGATCTTGCCGAGTCCATTGGCGGACTTGCGGTCGTTTGACGATTAAGTAAATGCTAGTAAGGAAGAGAGAGAGAGAGAGAGAGAGAGAGAGAGAGAGAGAGAGATGAACGGAGCGCAAGAGGGAGTGTGTAGCTACCTATACAAGGACCTACGGGACCAGTGGGAATGGAATGCAGGTACCAGTCCAGTTCTCTACCTCTCTCTCTCTCTTTCTCTCTCTCTCTCTCTCTCTCTCTCTATCTATCTATCTATCTATCTCTCTCTTCCTCCGTCTCTCTCGATTCTTAAACTTATGCGAATGCAAGAACAAGGCGACGGAGAATAACAAAGATTCGAAGAATCATTACATATACCGGCGTTATATTTTTGTATAAGAGAGAAGAACTAAATGCCGAATATTGAAAAAAAAAAGATAAAAAAAAGAATTTTTGTTAATCTTATTGGCATACCTAATAGGAACAGAAAATTTCAGGTATCGAAAATGTTTGGTATAGCGGGAAATAATCAATCTTATAAAATATAATATTAATATATATTGTCTTTAATACACTTGTAGCATTTGGTTTTATCGGGACTGATGTTTGATAATAAAAAGCTGTCCTTCTCTTAACACTATTAATTCAACTATTTCATTGATGATTCAATGATTTTTGGAATATTATTTATACATAAGAAAGTACTAAGGTTCGGCTCATATTAAATAAAGTACTGTAAATTTAATGAATTGCATAGTTTAGCGTTCAAAAGTAAGCTTTGCGGGACAAAAAATGTGCCTCTTTCAACGATTTTGAAGCATAAAGTTAAGTTCGAAACAACTCGCTAGACTACCAAATCTAACTATTTTATATTGAATTTAAAATTGCTCTCTTATATCCAGATCAAAATGAAAAAAACAATGATGAATAACAATCACATTTTAATATTTCAATTTCGGTAAAATATATGCAAAGTTATTAGATTCCAATCGAAAACATTCGGAAGAGTATTTTCAATTCCTGCAAGTACGTCAGATATAATCCGATTAACTTGAAACTTCCTGGTATTGAAGATAAAGCCCGGAGAATTTGACAACTTAAACATGACGAGAACGCGCGATTACTCCTGAGCAATAAAATCTCTCTCGCTTAATATTTAATTAACGTATTAGTAATGAGGCGAACGAATGCCTTTTCAAAAAAGTTTCCCTCGTCATTGAAGCATTGATAAAGCATATAAATGCAATTTAATTTTACATCGGCATGTTCAAATAAGTCAGCTTACACATAATCATTATTCGGATATTTCATTTTCATTAATGCGACGAAACGATTTACGCACGAATACCGAAAATATAACAATAGGCTCGTGTCAATTACATTTCAATTTCAATTTCAATTGATATCAACGTACTGAACTTACTTCCCCAATCAATTTTCACAATCGAAGGATGTAATTGTAATATTTATTTGTTGACTCTCTCATATACAAATTACACTTCCCTTATCATATAATTAGGTCAAACTTTTCATTTATCAGGCCTAAGTGATTATCCGAATTAAGTGAATGCTAATGAAAGTACAGAACAAAGACATTTTTGTTTTTCTCAATACTTGCCCCTATTGTAGAACAAACAAATTATTATTGTATTAAGTAATCATGGGAATTTATAATTATTTAAGAGAGTTTAGGATAAATTTAATCAACCATACATGGGTTATGATATGCCGCTATGAAAAAATAAAAGTAATCGTCAAGCAAGCATTTGCAGATAACGACTTGTCAAGGTCAAGAATTTTCGGACCTTTGGACATAAAGAATGACCATTAAGGTCAATGTAATTTCAACAATTATTCGACTCCGGATATCCGGCCCAAACGATCGATATCGTAAAACGTGACCATCATTAACAAACTCAAATAGAAAACGTCATTTGGGACGAAACGAGCAATTTAATAAACCAACGGCATATGGAACACCTTCTACCTCGGACCACTACCTAGTGCACATTCCATTGGTTGGCCCGTTAAAGAGGCCGTGGAGTGGAAGCGAAGAAATGAGAAAGAATAAAAAGAAAAAAGCGAGAAATGAACTAAACGCAAACTCGACATCGTGATAGAATTCGTCGGCACGACGCGAATCATGCTCACTTTATCGAAGATACGTCTTGAAGTAATCTGATTATCCGCGGTAAAAGAATTTTTGCCCGCAGGTACAAAGCGTTGGGTGCTCGAGCGTCCGGAGGATCGGTGCGAGCAACGAGATGAAAAAGTCACAAATTCTTGACGATCGCACGGTAATTATAATAACTTCGGCACTTTCACTCGCTCTCTCTCTCTCTCTCTCTCTCTCTGTCTCCTCTCTCCTCTCTCCTCTCTCCTCTCTCCTCTCTCCTCTCACCACTCACCTCTCCCCAACTCACCGAGCATTATAAAGTAACGTGGAATAATGTAAATATGGCGTAGCGCAGCAACTAACCAACAATGCATGCATTATGTATGACCTCAGGTTCGAACGAGCGTCAATTGGGTCAGTCAACTTTTCATTTAACAAGCCCCAACAACGAACGGGAATGGAGTTGGGTGTGTTTTCGTAACGTTCAGGGCCGACTAATAAGACCCTTGGCAAGTCTCGACGGCCTACATCGGGGCCCCCTCGCCCGTATATATCGCCGACCAAACCCGAGCGAGACATATGAAAGACGCCCACGGCGCTGCCGCCTCATCGGTGGCGAATCACTAAGAATGAAGGGACGAGCGAAGTAACGAACGTAAGGAGTTAAGGAGTTAAGGAGTCAAGGAGTTAAGGAGGAAGAGAGAGAGGGAGAGGCGCACTCGCACACTTGTCGCGGGCGTCTCGGGGTCCATCGGAATGCGGTCGCGCGCACGGGAGTAAACGCAGCCAAGTGGGCCGTCGACGCTCCAGCAGGAGTGAAAGTAGCAGCCAGCCCCGCTCCCGGGAATTTTAAGCCAGGCAAATTGACACCGACGACTTTCTTTTTCGGCCCTGGACCATCCCCCTCCCCCTTCCCCCACCATTCACGCTACCATACGTCTCTCCCTTATCGGCTCGGTAACTCGGCATCGTCCACTCACCACCCACCCACCCATCCAACCAACCACAGTTGTTGCTCGCACTTTCACTCGACGAGCAATTTGGCAATGGTCGCACCATCGAGTCACGACGGTCGTTAGGCCGTTGGTAGTGTACGGTTCAAGGGCGACACTGGACTGGCGATTCGGCCCGTCGTGAATAACGAAGGTAGGAATGGCGCTTTGCTACGTATTCGCTACGAGTAGCGATTTCTAACGGAAGAGAGAGAGAGAGAGAGAGAGAGAGAGAGGCTGCGGTTCTTGAAAAAAAAAAAAAAAATCACTAGACCACGAATCTCTTAATTTTAACGAACGGGAAAACGAGGCTCGCCAATTATTCAATTCCGGCCTCAACCTACAACCTCAATTATACAGCAGCCCTTTGTCATG